GGGAAGCTAAATTTTTTTATAAACTTTCCTGCAGGCTAAACTTCCAGACAATATTGACAATTAATCTACTTTTATGACTACTTTTTTCACTCATGTGATAACTTGATTTATTCAGGGAGTTCTTTCCTGCAAGTATTTGTTAATGAACATAATGCCTACTGTAGATGTTTTGGGAGTATTCAAGGTAGGTGGCTTTAAGGCATGTCTATCCTTGAAAAAACTTCTGGTTTTCTGCAAGTGGCCTGAAAGACCTGCCTGTGCCTTGACCAAGAGTCTCTTGGCAGTTCTATTTAGTCTTCAGTAACTTCACTTTGAGATCTTGATGTCCATTCAACTTTGCCTAAGAAGCAGCACTTAGCCTCCAGGGCAAACATGGTGGTATGTACTTTCCTGCCACTGCTCCATATGTTTTAGGATTTTTCTTGCTGCTTCTGTGCTACTGGAGGGCTGGGATACGAAGCCAGGCTGTTTGAATCCCTGTAGTACTTTTTTATTTCGTCATTCCTTTTGATTTTGTGAGCCAGTACCTCTTTCAAAGCACTGCCAAGCAGCAGTGAAAAACACTGCTGAGCAATGTGAGCCTAATTATTAATTGCATTGTTTTCTGTTCAGGTAATGAAATTAGGGCGCTTCATGTTTCTTGTGCGATGCTCTTTTTCAATGGCTAGAGATGGGAATAACAGAATTGAGTTGTCACTTTTGCGTTAATTTACGTCAGTGCAGCAGGTGTGAGTGGACGGTTAGCCCTGACCAGGGGACGGGACAGCACAGCATGGTGTGTTTGGGATCGCTGGCGATGGCTGCAGGGCTCTGCTTACCTGGCAGCTTATGCCAAGTTGACTTCTTGCTGTGGTAGCCATACGTTTGTGTGAAAGCTTCCCCCAGTGTGAGGTGTAGCCTGCTGCTGTGGTCAATACCAAACTAACTGGGTCGTAGTAGGTCCAGTCCTGGGGCTCTTGGCAGGGAGGAGTGTCCTGCTGTGAAGAAAACACTGTAGCCCAGTGTGTAATCATACTCTTATTGATCGATTAATGGAGCTGGAAATTCCTGATGCATCCTATGATTGTTGGCATTATTGCTGAGATAAATCTGTAGCCTGTCTGCTCCAGTGCAGAGCCATATTCTTTGAAGGAAACTTTAATTTGAGGGAGTTCCTGTGTAATTTTTAATTTTTTTTCTGTAGGAGAAGAGGTATGTAAAATAGAAGAGAAAGGGTAAATGGACCCCTAAAGCCTGATATTTTGAACTTGATGGTATGGCCCCAAATTCTGAGCTGTTTTAAATGTCTTGTTTCCCATTAGATTTGTGCCATGTGTCAGTAACCCTTTTGCAATATAACTGCATATTTCTCTGGTAGGTGTTTTCTAGTTGAACCTGCCCTGGTGCTTGACAGAAACAAGCATCTGTGATCATTAATGCTGTAGGGTCAATGTAGCTGCAAAAAGGGTACACTTGTGCTGTTGTGCTCTTAATAAAATTGCCTGCTAAGTTTCAGTTCTTCACCATGAGTTCTGGTGATGGTTTATGGACAGAAAAATGCCGTGTGGCTTCTAATGCCTGGATCCAAATCTTTTGTTGCTTACTTCTGAAAATGTTTTCTTTGATAATGTCTATCAAAAAATACCAGGCGGAGTTTTGAGAATATGAAAAAAAGGCAATTTAAAATTCTGTGAATAATCTAAATTCTAATTATCCTTGAAACAAGGCTCTCTGAAAATAATGAAATGCAGTTTTGTGGTAAATTTAGGGAAGGTAAATATTTGAAGGTCTAAAAATGCATTTTTAAAGCATAGGAAAATTTAGAATGTTTTAAGGATTGCAAGATGATAAATTGAAAATACCAGTTTCTATAAAAGTCAGATTAATGTGGGACTTAAAACAGCTTGATTTTTGAAGTACGTGGGTTTAAGATTGTGTGGGTACTTCAACTTGACACTTTTTTATCCCTTAACATGTTTCAGTTTTAAAAAAGAAAACTTAACCTTTACTCTGAATCCTTTGAATTAATTTATTCTGAGGACAAGATAGCATTTTTGCAATACTTTTTCCCTTAGGTGTGTTTTTAATATACACTTGATATAGCTTGCTTCCAATTTAAGATAATGCTCATGTGCAAGTTCTTTTTAAGCTTCAAATGGAACACTAGGGAACAAATTATGTGATGTTGCTAATGAATTTGAGAAATTTAGCATTGATCTTAAATTTCTTTTTTGTTTCATGTTTTTAAAGCAGGTGAAGATGTGTTCTTCTGGCTGCTTTGTGCTATAATGGAGCTAAATGCAAAGCAGCTGGAATGTCTCGGGTATGCAGGAGGGTTTTAAGCCTGTGCCTGTTGCCAGTGCAGCCCAGCTGTTTTGTGGCTGTGAATCTTGCCCTAAGGTTTCCATGTGTGGCCAGAACTCTCACACAGCTGGGATGAGTTGAAGACAATTGAGAACTGAATCTACATATTTTGATAGGGACTTTCACATTGCTGATATTGAGTCTTAGAATTGCCGTGTGCAAAGTAGCTAGTGCGTGCTGTGTAGTGATTGGTGATCTGATGTCTACATTTATTTAAGATATCAGTGCTATTGAGCTGTCTGCTATTTAGCGATGATGATAGATAGATGTTACTAGAGACAGTAACATACTTTTTTGCCCCTGAAACTCGCATATTGCAACTTTGTATCTGAGAACTTGGAATCTTTCATAATTATATTTAAAATCAAATTTATTGAATTTTCGGGTCTCGAGAGTGGTAGTCTGTGTCTCTAAATCTCTTTGTCATGCACAGCCAAAGGATTTTGAATTTTACCAGTGCACAGACAGCTGTGATCTTCATAATTAGTTTGTGTGGGTGTCAGCGTTCAGCTCTCCAATGAAATTTGTCAGAAAAGAAATGAGAAACTGAATGATATGGGAATTAAAGCAGAAAGTTGGCTGTATAGATGATTTAGCAGTAATCTAATGTGTAGCTAATTGGCTAGTATCCAAATTGTTCTTCTGATTGTTTGTTTTCCTCCAGGGAAGGATGTTACTGAATACTAGAGGACTGGTTCCCTGGAGGAAAACACATAAGCTTTATGTCTAGGTATTTTGTTCTAACATCAGTGTTTATCTTGTATGGCACAACTGTTTCTTATATCATGCATAAAACTAAAAATGTTGGGCTGCAGCACCAAAATGCTAGCCGTGTGTAGGCCAGCAGGAGTTTTGCAATTTACATTATTAGTGCCAGAATATCACCCTAGGTTGTTATGTATTAGATGAATTTCTAATATTTAACTTTTGGTTGTCATCCTGTGAGGACAGGCTGAGAGAGTTGGGCTTGTTCAGCCTGGAGAAGAGAAGGCTGCTGGGAGACCTGATTGCAGCCTTTCAGTACTTAAAGGGAGCCTATAGGAAAGATGGGGACAATCTTTTTAGTAGAGACAGCAGTGACAGGACGAGGGGTAATGGTTTTAAACTAAAACAGGGTAGGTTTAGGCTAGATATAAGGAAGAAGTTCTTTACAATGAGGGTTGTGAAACACTGGAACGGGTTGCCCAGAGAGGTAGTGGAGGCCCCATCCCTGGAAACATTCAAGACCAGGTTGGACAGGGCTCTGAGCAACCTGATCTAGTTAGTGGTGTCCCTGCTCGCTGCGGGGGGGTTGGACTAGATGACCTCTAGGGGTCCCTTCCAACCCAAAACTTTTTATGATTCTGTGATTCTATCCATAGTATACTGGTTAGTCAGCAGAATGCAAAAGGCATACTTTGCCAGAAAAGGCAGGTTGTTTAGATGTTCATGGACTTGTACTCCTGGAGTCAGACTGAAAACTTTGTCTCCAAGGAAAGTGTGCTGGAAGGTTTTAAAATTACATGAAGTATCTAATGTACTCTAGTCAAATCACAAGTTAGTTAATATCAATGAGGGAAAGCAAAACACTGGACAGGAACGAGATGTAATAATTGCATTTTATAATTTTTTTTTTTTTTTAAATTATAATTATTTTACTTTCCCTCCTTTGGGATTAGATTTTACTGATGTCAACTATCAGTCAGATGGAAAGTTCACCCAGGTCAGTGGAACTCTTGGGAGTGACCTCTCGCCAGTTGCTGCAAAGGTGTTGGCCTCTACTTTTTGCTGAGCTTTTTCATATGACTATTGGTCAAATACCATTTTATTCAGCAGAAAACATGTAGAATATTAATATGAATCATCTTGCTTTATTTAAAATGCGTTCCAAGATTGTTACTTGCATGACTAATAACTCTGAAAATAGCCAGTATGATTTTCATCTCGCACCTGTGCAAGATGCTGCATTTTGTGCAGTACCCTGAGGTTAAGCTGTGAGCAAACACACTGCCAAAATTTCTCCTTTGGCCAGCTAAAGCACCTTAAGGAAGTCTTTGTCCTGTGGGTTTAAAAACTGAAATACGCCTTAAGCATTATGCCAGGTGGAGTTCCAGTCTTCTATGTCTCAGCTGCAGCAGGAGGGATCTTTTGTAGGGGGTGTTTTGGGGGACACAAACAGCCTGACAGTACATGGGATGTTTGTGGAGCTGTCGGGGTCAGCTGCAAAGATAACCATTGTATATACCTGTTCTGGAGGAACAAGTAAAGAGTGGTTGTTTGGGTTTTTTTGCAAAGATCAAATTTATTGTCTCTATGGTAAATGTTCATCGCTTGTATCAGTATGTTCTGATTTTTAGCTCATCATAAGTCAGTATTTGATTTTCATAGCACTCAATACCCACAGTCCAAAGATTCTTGAAAGTAGAACTACAGACGCTTACTTATGGCTTCATATTGGAACGATGGTACTATTTTGTGTGTATGTGCCTAAGGTCATAATTACACATGCTTGAGTCCTATAGCTCTTTCAAAAGTAGGTATTGTATATCCCATCAACTGATGATGCTTGCTTTAGTTCTTTGAAGAACAGATGTTTAGAAGTGATTGGTATTATCAGGTTTTAAAAGTATTTCAGGACTTAAAGTATTTTTTTTTTCTTAAATTTTTTTTTCTTTTAGGTGGCCTGGCTTTAGCTCAAGTACTATTTTTTTATGTGAAATTGATGGACTCAAACCTCCAGCTCTGCCTTGCTGTGTCAGCCTGATGCATAGTTTCACTAAAATGTGGAGGTTAGTCACTATTGCTTTTCAGACAGTTTATTACTGATATATAGCAGTCACTGTGTGAGAACATGCATGTGTGTTCATGGTCACATGTGTTTGCTTTCATGTCCTTGTGCTTTTTCTCTCCCCCCCATGATTCATCTTTAGCGCTTTCTAAATGAACTTCAGTGTGGTGGTTACTTTTTTCATACTGCAGAGGGTAGGGGCAAGCATCCCTTTCAGCACTTTCATCCTCTATAATTATTAGAATTAGACTCAGCCTACGTAGCTTCACTAACGTAGCAATTATTTTTTCCAGATATCTATTAAATGGTTCGTTTTTCAGAACTGGTCTAAAACCCACATTTCAGCTAGAAATTCTTCTTCCTAGAGAAGTGCTTGACTTTTCACCCTGTGAGGAAAGCTGTAGTTATAACACTTTAATACGTAGAGTCATGCAGTAGAGAAAGTCTCCAACACATTAAAAATACTATGAAAAATGGTAATTGTTTATAATGTAGGATGAATTTCTGGATCCCGTTTGCTTTTAAAGAGTTTCAGCACTGTTTCTCAAGGAAGTATCAGTTCTGGATTTTATGGTTGCTTTAAATCAAAGTTCACTGAAGCATTTTCCCTGAAAATTGTCTCCCGGGTGCATTCTGCTTGCTGTTTAGCCTGAGTGTAACAGTGCATTCACTTCACTTCTCCCCTCCCTTCTTTTCCTCTCTACTGTCTCTAGTTCCTCCAGTCTGTGCAATGCTGTGCCCCAGACTTCTAGGAACATTACTTAAAATGATTTAGGCTTGTCAGCTTTATAGTGGAGAGACTTTTGTTGTGATGTGTTAGCGCAGAGCCTAGCACAATGGTGCTTACCCTGTTTAGTCTCCAACTGCTTTGCGATATGAATAAAGCTTTTTCATTTTAGTCATAAAAACAGCAGGCCTGCTATTATCAGAGTTTTATTGGATGAGATTTTAATTTTGCTTTTGGCTTGAAGCTAGTTGTAATAAGAAGACTTTATAAGAGTTGGCAAACGTAGATATGTGGTATTCAAAGAAATGTAGTAGAAACAGTGCAGAAAATGGATGAAGTGTTAATTATTTGAGCTACTAGCAAATGCATTGACTTAAATTCTCTTTCAGAGTTTGAACTGAACTGATGACCTACAGAGTTCATAAAGAAGTTGGTTTTTTACCAGGCACTCTCCTGAGAGTAGCATCTTTTGGCCTGCTGGCCATTGCAAGCAGAGTTGCAAACAGCAGCATTTTTTTTTCATCCTCTCCCGGTTATTATTGCAGGGAATCTGTGTGTTGCTCTGGAGCTGCCAAATGAAACTGAACTTTAGCACATATACTAATGACACTGGTGTGTCAGGTAGTGGTAACAAACCATGAGAACGTAGTCTATGCCTGCAAAGGTGTATGGTGTATCACAGTAAAAACATTGGGTATACTTTAAAAAATATAATAATTACCTCATAAGAAAATTAAACTAGTACCTAAGCAGAAAATTCAATTATTTTTTTACAGAAGGAAAAAATGTGGACTGCTGATAATTACCATTTGCCCAAGTATTTTATTCGTATGTATTAAGCATTCACTGCCAGAAATAATGAAATTGTCACATAGATGCGATTTGTTTGTTTGCTTTGAAGGTTGAAAAAATCAGTTCATGTACAGCTAACTTGATTTCTTGTTCTCAAAGCTGCGTGGTTAGTAGAATTTCCTATGGCTGCTAGTGAATTATGGGTCATTCTCAATTATCTAAGAAATCTCACATAGCTTGCCCTCTGAATCCCTGAATTATGATGCCCTGATGCCTGTACAGTTAAACTCTTCAATCACTACTACCCAGAGGCTTTGCAGTCTTTTTACGTGTTTATGTGATTTGATATGTTATATAGGAATGTCAATGTTAGAAGAGTGAATAGCCTTTGTTTCTAAACCATATGACTGTCTGAACAGGACCGGAAGTGTGGAAAAAGATGGATTTAGCATAAAAGCTAGCAAAAAATGGTGAAAGTATATAAGTTGTGTTGTGAAGCCTTAAGAACGGTGACACTGTGTTTTCGTAAAGTGCTTAATACTTTTTTTGTAGTTTGTGAACACATGGACTCTTAAGTAAATATTCCAAACAACTCTATCAGAGTGGGTCGAATTTGAATGTTAGTAACATGGTGCCTAGTTTTAATCTGATAGAGCGAGGAGATTTGTACTAGACTCTGTTTTCATAAAATGGTAGCCTGATAAAGCTTATGAAAACCTCCTAGGGCCAGGTTGGGAAATGGGAGTGGGGTGGAATGAGCCAGATGATTACCAGTATTACTATTTTTGTATCTTAAAGCTATTAGCAATGAAGATTTTGAACGAGAGAGGTAGCCTGAAGAGCAAGACAACACGAATGTCGCGATGTCAGGAATGCAAATACGCTACTGAGGACTCTTCCTCCACCACCTGGTGTCCTTTGAGCATAACAAGAAAGCTTTGGATCTGATACAGCATAAGTGACAGGTGTCAGTTATCAGTGCATGCAGACATAATTTACTATGTGACACAGCAGGTGGAAGAACTTTCAGATGGGAAGGTAGGAAAGATACCATGGTGTATCTACAATTTCTCTAGAGTTGAAAATCAAAGCAGGTATTAGAAAAACAAATCAGGTACTCTGCCTCCCTATTTATGGTATTAACAATAAACCAAATTGTATCCATTCAAACTTAAAAACAAAAGACTTTAATTAGAGGAGTTATCAATGTTATAGTAGATTTGGCCTAATTTGCATTTTATTTAATCAAGACAGTCTTTTGAGTCAAAAGATTAGCAGTCCTGTTTACTGGCTCAAGACAAATACAGGTGTTGAATGTGTTACTGTGGTTTCATTTTACCAGGATATCGTTATCTTGCTAAATATACAGCTGCATAGCTAATAAATGCATGATAAATGTATTACTATTCAAAAGCTTGATTAAACCTGTGAAAAAGAGTTTCTGAGCTCCTGATTTCCTGATAGGGCAGCAGTTCAGGGACACACTAACTTAGAGTTTTTAATGTCTGCTTTACCTGAAGTCATGAGGAATTAAAACTTGGCTGTTGTTACCAAGGTTAAAAGCAAGGTGATGAATTGTGTGAGAGCAACCAATGTTCTTGGAAACTTGCAAGTGCTTTTAAATAATTGGTCAAGGCTAATGTCTGGCATATAGCTTCTGAGGTGGAGGGGGGTGAGTTGTGTAGTGCAGCTGGCAAGTTATGCTACTGCTGAAAATTGTAAATTAGTTCAATATGAAAAATATTCTAGTGGAGGAGTAAGAGTGTGGAAACTACAGAAACAATAGATAGCACGTAACTAAGTCCTATATCAATTTTGACACATTGGTAAACGACTTCGGCAGTGTATTCCACAAAGCAACTTGTCAGTTTGTAAATTGGGACAACATTTAGCACAGATGCTGTTCATGGAAAAAAATCGTGCTTCCATTTTTGTTTTCATACTGTGTTACTGAGTGTAATGAGTGCTCTTCAAAGATGTGGGATGCATTGATTCGATGTGTTTTGACATGCTGTGGGAACAGCATGGCACAAGAAACCAGGTATCTGGTTGTAGAGTGACTGAAATGTGCAGAAGCGCAACTCCTCTACCTTTGCACCTTAAAATTTGCACATTCCCAATTATCTTATCCCAAATAATTTGGACACAAATGTGTTGGGGTCAAATTGTGCTAAAACTTAATGCATGTTTAATACAGGTTAGCTTCAGCAAGGGTAGAAGTTCTTCAGGAAGGCAGTAAGAAGTAGTATTGGAAAGGTAGATTTCACAGGAAAAAGAATTTCATCCAGAATAAAGAAAATGGGGTTGAAGCAGTGCTGCTGCCAGATAAAAATAAAGTAGTCTAATGATGGAGAAAGATTGGCCATTTTTAGCTACCATACTGTAAGTTTTAGATCCCACCTTGTATTTAACCCCCAATTCTTGACCAGACAGGAGTCTGACGTAAGTCAACCCGCCCTGTTTTCTTGCATGCTTGTAGGTAGACTAGAGGGCTGTTGTTTTGCGTGTACAGGCACACATACACACTTCATATGAACACGTTACGTTTATCCCACGGACATTTTGGTGACATCCAAAAATGGCATCTGGGTTATGGTTTGAAAGAAATTGTCTGCAATTCAGTCTGGTTTACCTGCCTCATTATTGCGAAAGCATTGCTTGCCTTATATGAGGAAAGTGGTCTGTATGCAAGGTCTCAGTGAATTGCTCCAAATTACGGATTAGAATTTTACCGTAGGCTAGTCAGATTCTCAGAGATAACCATGCCATAGAAAATGGATCTACAAATTAAAATATAATCTAATCTGCGTCTGCTTTCTCATCCTGAAACTTTTTTTGTCTGCTGTCACTGTTGCTCTTGAAACCTTCCCCCTTCTGGAAACAGTTCCTTCTGTATGTCTATCAGAAAGGACTGTACCAGGGTACTTTCCCTTCCTTTCACATTCTTTTCTAGGAAAAGACAAGTCTGATGCTGATGTTATGTGTGAGTGTGAGCGCAAGAGATCGCTGTGACCACATGCAGTAATTTTGGAATGATGAATAGCAAGCAAAAACCTACCATCTCTTATTTGTGGCCTAAAAACTTGATAGTATTTATATCTAATCGCCTATTCTTAGTTTGTGGTGAGGACTGAAATATATTTTTAAACAAGGAAAATAGTTTTTATGACCTGTAGGGGGGGAAAAAAGTAATTATTGAAGTCCATTTTCATCTGTGCTTTTCTCAGTCTGAGCCCAGTTTTATCACATACTTCCCTTCTTTGGGCTTCTGGTTTTTGTATTGGAATAAATAATTTTGGGAGTTAACTTACTAAATATATCAAGACGAATAAGCTGCTGAAAGGCTTTATATTATAAGATATAATGAAGTAGATTTTAAATAAAATCAGAAATGGTGTTTCTGTCAATGCTTAATTTGGGAAGCTCACCTCCTGAAATTCCTGAATAGCCGATGCCTGGCACATGTTAACACAAATGTAATT